TTTTTCAACATTTTCCATTAAAAAATGTTGATGCGGCAAACAAAATTTTGACATGGTAAACAGAATTTTGACGTTTTTCGTTGAAAAAAGAGTGATTTATATTGATTTATGATTTGAATGGACAATTTATTCATTTTTTTTTTTTTAGGAATGGATGTATCCCTACTGATATTTTTTAAGGGTGGATTTGAGGGTTTTGTCTATAATTTGGAAGTAGAGATTTTTTTCCAAGATGTTGAGAAAAGTTGAAATCTCAGCCAACAAATCTAAGCGTTTTAAGATTTTAAAACAAACTATTAAGCGTAAAGATCGATTTAATATTTTATATATTTTTAAAATAATAAAAGATTAAAAAATTATAATAACACTTCAATGCAAGTAGACCTGGCAAATGGGCGGGTTGGGTCAGGTTAGGGTCGGGTCAGGTTAGGGTCGGGTCAGAATGGGTAACAGGTCAAAATGGGTTGGGTTAAAATGGCTTACAGGTCAATGAAAGCAAACCTTAACCCAACCATCACGGGTCAACGGGTCAGCCCGCGGGTTAATCCAATTAAATTTTTTCTCTATAATTTGTACATATTATCATCCAAAGAAAGTTATTCAAAAGATTAAAAAATTATAATAACACTCCAATGCAAGTAGACTTGGCAAACGGGTGAGTTAGGTGGGGTTAAGGTCGGGTTAGAATGGGTAACATGTTAAAACGGGTTGGGTTAAAACAGGTTATGAGTTAATGAAGGCAGACCTTAACCCGCTCATCACGGGTCACGGGTCACGGGTCAACTTACGGGTTGATCCAATTAAATTTTTTTTTCTTTTTTTTCTCTATAATTTGTAACTATTATCATTCAAAGAAAATTATTCAAAAGATTTAAAAAAGTAATTCAACATCTTTATGTTTTCCCCCATTAATCCAATAAAACATATTTATAGTTCCTCAAAATCACCTGCTTTATTTCCCTTAAAAGAACAACGCTAATCAAATTCAAGAACACAATACTTATAAATCTCAATAGCCAAAAAAAAAAAAAAAAAAAGTAGTAGTAGCATGACAACCAAAAAACACAAACCCCATTGGAACATATTTGTTTTGGTCATTGTTTTCAAAGAATAATGAATTGAATGCATCTAAGTAAGTGAAAGAGAAAATCAAGTAAAATTTTTACTTGGAATGAAAAGAAAACTAAAAAGCATAAATAAGTAAACAATTTACCTTGAAGTATTTAGAGAGAAAAGTTGGTGACATAAAGAGCATTTGCCGGACTCATAGGAGAAAAAAAGAAAAGGCTAAGTGAACACAACGGTGACTCGATAAGACTAAGATTTAAGTCTGAAATAATGTTAAAGACTAAAGAGAAAATGTGGAGTCGAAGTTTGAAAGTCAAAGGCTGTATGAACTATGGAGGTTGAAGAATATGAAAAGAGTTGAAGTTTAAAGAATTAGAGTTTTCGAGAGTATTAGGGCAAGCAAGAATAGGAAAGGTCGGAAGGTGGGTTATGAGTGGAATGAGATTATTTTTACTTCTAGAAGATGATGAGTCAAGAGAATCAATTAGTTAATTATGTAATATTAGTCAATTATTAAAGGTTTAGGTGGGATTGAGAATTGGAAAACAAAATAAATAAATAATAAATTAAAAAATTTTATATTTTTAAACAAGTAAACGAGTTAAACTCGTTAACTTGATGGGTCAACCCGTTAACTTGATGGGTCAATCCGTTATTGACCTGTGACCCATTGGGTTCTCTTAACGGGTCATTAACAGGTCATGGGTAATAAATATATGATCCTAACCCGTTTTAAACATGCGGGTAATGGACGGGTTAACGGGTTGGGTAAAAAATTACCAGGTCTAAATGCAAGTATCGACAAACGGCCAACCGTTCCTTTGAAAATGTTAAGTTGTAACTGTA